TGATTGGTACATTCTTATGATTTATGTTCATCCCAAACTTTGGCTTAAATCTTGATGTATTACAATGATGACATGCAATCTCTATTATATCATCTTCATAGTATAACATGCATTCATTAACATAATAATTTATTTTTTTGTATATATCAAACCAAGTTTGAAAACCAAATTCTTAGTTCGATATAAATCTTTAAAAATTATGTTATATGTCAGATTGGTCTCATTAAGCAACCCAAAGAGCTGATTAAAACATTTATGGGGGATATTGAATTCTGTCTTGATGCTTAACATCTTCACATCAATAAATAATTCTGAGTGATCAGTAGTGCACCCCTTCTAAATTGGTTGTTGAGCAGCATGCAACAAATCATAAAAGTTCCACGCTTCCTTATTAGGCGACTCTTATGTATATTCACGGCCGGAACCAACCTTAATTTTTAGGGGGAACAAACTTATAAATAACTGTCAGGGGTTATTATTTCTCTTTGTATTTGACAATTGCCTAAGTACCATAGTATTCTAAAACTTTTAGGGGGACTATTGCCTAAAAGCCCTTATAATAACACATCTACATAATGTGCATAATTTTTCTACGGGGCAATCGCCTAAAGATTATAATATTTTATTTTTTAGAGGGGACAATTGCCTAAAAACTCTTATAAACTACCTAAAAAGCCATATAATAAATAGTTTTTAATTTTTTTTTTTTTGGGGGGGGGGGGGGGGGGCAATTCCCTCGGCGGGGGGGGTGGCAATTGTCCCCCTGGGAACTTTGGAGTTCCGCCCCTGTGTATATTGTTCAAATTGTGTCCCAGTTGCATCATAAATTGAGTCCTCTAGTATTCAGATTTATTTTTTCTCAATTATATTAGAACTTGTAGACGGGCTGCATTGAGAATTGAATTGTGGCTTGTATAAATTCAATACTAATATTCTGACATGAATCCTCTATGATATAGATCAATAATTAGGCCATAAGGTGTCAGGTGGATTTTATTTTTATATTTAGAACACGAACAATTAAACCTTTTATCCGAGAGAAAGCTAGGCAATTGACAGGTTGTGTGGATGAAAAAAATCACCCTATTAATGTCTTTCATTCTTATGTAAAAAAGTTATACATCCAACTCTTTTAATTCTTAATAATTGTAATATGAATAATTTATCCTATACATGCATAATATGAAGTTATTAGAGGGGTACATTTTTTAATCAAGTTATAAGTATTTTGGTCGCACTTGGTTTACTCTCCAATAAGCCAAATTGGTGGCACTAAAAATTATTATTAATATTATCTGAGGATAGCATTAAATTTACATCATAAGTTCATACTACAATATAGTGAAATGACATGTCCTATAGACCCTTTAATATTATCATTTTGTACTGAAGTTAACAAATGAAATCTGATAAATGAAATGTCCTATAGAGACTCTTAGGAACCTAGCTTTTGGTTGGCTAAAAGATGAATGTAAAATAAAATAGAATGTGAAATAAGAGGAATGATGGTTGACTCACTATAGGAAAATTTTGGTATATCGGTAGAATTTCTAGCGGAATTAAATCTGGCGATAAAAATGGTAGTATAATCGACGGCTATTTAGCTGGTAATTTAGTGGCGAATTTTTTGGTGGATAAATTGTCGGAATTGTAGAAAACCCGTTGAAAAGGCTGTCAGTTTTTGTAAAGTCGATGATAACTTTCGGTGAAAATGCGCCAGAAATTACATGCATGTAGCATGTCTTTATGTTCAATGTCTGAATGAATATTATATATGGATAATTTTACTCATGTTTATTGTGTTGTACAAAACATAAATGTTTTTTTAGCTACATGATTCCAGTTGACTTCTGGCGGAATATCCGTCAGAAATGGAGATACGATGAAAATATATTGTATTTTTGGCATAAAATTTTGCCGGAAGTTCCGGCGGATAAATTGTCAGAAATTTCTATCAGTTCGTGTCCAACAAACTTTTTCTGATGGGTTATCTGCCGAAACTTCCTTCGGAATTTTTCGGTGAATAAACCGCCGATAATAGTGGCTTGTAAACAACACATATCTTGTCCGACGGACTTTTTTATATATGGTTGCTGATATCTTGCGATTTTTATAGTGGCTAAAGGGTTAGTATTTTATTTTAGCAAGTGTGTGAAAATAATTTTCTTAGACATTTCACTCTCCAAGTGATAGTATATCCTTTTCTTATCTTAGAATTAATTAAACTTCTTTCTTGAATGTTGTTTTAACAAATGAAATGTGATGAATGAAAAACTCTTATGTGAATTAGGTATGATTTTTAAAACTTTTCTTTGATGATAAAAAAATACCTTAAATGTATTTTGATTTCTACATGAAATTTTATGTTATATGTCTATGAATTTTAATATTTCATTAAATCCTAATTTAATTCATGTCATAATTCATCACTCTAATTATGAATCTCACAAAATTAGTTACTAAATGATGTTATGAGTAAATAAATTAATGTGGTGATATTGTATAAGTATCATGTATTATACTAAACGGGTAATAATTTTACAAAATATTTATACTATTATATGATTTATATCCATTCCAACTTCCTATTGAACTCATGCTTTTAACATGATAGTTAACCTCATAAACCCATTCCTACACTTTGTCTCTTCTCCATAATAATAGCTCTTTGGCTCACTTCCTAATCATGTCAAACTTTGTGCATTCAACTGCCTTTACTACTAATGCTTTTGCAACAAAAAAAATTAAGAGATAGCACTGAATCACAGATGAGACGGCGGACAGACACACCAGCATGAGGCCATGAATGGCAGAGAACGGTTATATAACCACGAGAACGACAAACAGGCTCGAACGGTGGCGTTGAACCACGGGCGACGAAGTGGCAAACATTAGGAAGGTATAAACAAATATAGAAAAGGGCAAAATTAAAATACAAGTAGACGATCAGAAACAACTCAAAATATGGCTTCCCCCAGGGAAGTGTCTGATGATTTTTTTTGTAGGAAAAGTTTTCGCTAGAGAAAAAATTTGTCAGTTTAACTAACCCGATAAAAATTCAGCTGGCCATTCAGTCCGAAACCTTCCGGCGGAAAAAAAAGCCGATAAATATTGTCGGTTAGAACAAACCATCAGCCTAGCCAATGGATTGGTCACCAAAAGATTACTGATGGTATATCCCCCAGAAAAACGTAGGATTATTTTCGGCAAAAAATGCCAGTTTGTCTACCGATATTTTCGGCAGACATATCTATTTCGGAAATGCTGCCGAAAATTGCAGTTTTTCCTATAGTGTTTGTTATTTTTTTTATTGATAATATATTAGTCTGTTCAAGGACTAATGATGATTGTGAAACTTATTTTGGTTTGGTGTTAGATATTTTGAGATAGTATATATTATTATATGCTAAGTTCAAAAAGTGTGAGTTCTAGCTAAGGAATGTAACATTTGAAGGACATAAATGAGAGGTGGTGGAATATTTGTAGATCCCTAGAAAGTGTAACTATTATGATTTACTACATGTTGAATTATTTTCTATGACTAAAGAATTGCATAATCATTTTAATTTACTTCAAAAGGTATTTAAGCTTGAAAAAGAAATTTTCATCTACATAAATTATATAGTATTTTACATCTTGATATAGAGAAAATAAAGAAAGAATTAGAGGAAAAGAATTCTTTGTACATAAAGTTTGAGGAAGAATATGAATATCCTTGATTTGCATAAATCAAAATATGAGTTGTATTGTAGAATAGGATCACTAATGTGCACGAATGAAGACTTGAGAGAGAAGTAATAAAATTGATATGTTTCTCAACTATTGCACTACATTTACATACACAACCTAGGGCATTAGTGAATGAGATGTTTCTCAACTATTGGCAAGTCTAGATGGCTATCTCCACGAAGATAAAAAATCTGGCAAAATATGAGGCCCATCTTAGGCATTGACTAAGTCTAAAGATAAAATAGTCAAAAGGCCAAGTAACAATTGAAAGATTACTCACATTTAAAAGCTACACAAACTTTCAACTATATTGGTATTGTAGCTCATCAAGATAGTAAATTTACTATAATTCTTGTACGAGCATTAAGATGATGATTTTCTATTTCTTTTATTCCTTTTTTAAAGTCAATTAAAAAATAAAATAAAAGAAAAACAATGAACTAAATGTATACCTACGTATGCCATTGACCTATTTTAATGGAGTTCGATCTACCTTGATGCAAGAGGAAGGTTAAATGGGCACATATCAAATGTCAAAGTGCATGCACCAAAGGCAAAGATGCACAAGTTAAAAGCCAAAGTGCACCTGCCAAAAGGCCAAGCTATACTTATCAAAGGCTAAGAGGCACTCATCAAAGGATAAGCTACACATTTCAAAGGCCAAGGTGTAATCATCAAATACTAAGATGAAATCACTAAATACTAAGGTGCACTTATCAAAGGCCAAGGTGCACTCATCATAAACTATGGTGGACTCACTATAATTACTTGTACCCATCAGAAGAACATCGACTCCAACTTAATTGGTCACTTGTCCAAGCCTAAGTCACTTGCTCCAACCTTAGGGGTCACTTGCCCAAGGTTGGAGAGTCATTCACCATAATAATTCCCCAAAAAAAAAAAAAAGTCATTCACCATAACTTGAGGGGACACCCTCCTAAACTAGTAAGATCTACTCACCTATACCTACCATAGCCAATGGTTTTGAAAGGCCTACGACCTCTCATACTCACATGATGACTTTTCTTAGTCTAAGGAGCTTTCTATATGTACCTATTGATTCTTAACCCACATATCCAAGTGTTTCTATTATAGCTCTGACCACAAATTCCACATGCTTGTAACTATCTTGTCATTTTTTTATTCATGTTATGTTAGGTCAAAATCTAGCTTCTTTTGCCACGTCAAAATCTTATAAATATGATGTTTAAAAGCTATTTTTCTCATATCTAATTATTTTGAATATTTTATGCTGGCAATAAATTTATAAGAGCAGCTCTTTCTATATATATATCAAAACTCCTCTTTTGTATGGCAGCGGCTGTATTCTTCTTTTGGGGATCAATGGAAGGAGGCCGTACTGAGGTTCTGTGCAAAATAAAAGGTTAGAAACCACCTCGCCTTTTCTTCCACTTTCATATTTCCGCTTCCCGCTTCTGAGATCACCAGTCTTATCTTTACCTTGCAGGGTTCATCCGTGCCCTGGTTGTGGATATCGGCTATAATAACAGCCTTTCGGTCGCTGTAGATCGCCACCGAACCTACTGCTCCAATTCTTCGGGAAACTGGTCAATCTCTCAATCCGCCGTTCTTCTTAATTTTACGCTTTTTTTAGTTGTTGCATTTGTCAAGAAACACTTGTTTTTGCAAATGGAAGGAATTCAACTCCCTGGATGGATTCGGAAACTATATCGCTTTGAAAGCTGCTGCTAGATTTATTATCAATTTGGATTCGCAAGCGGACTCGTTAAACGGTCAAGAATTGCTATTTTAAGCTCCGTTTGTTTTATATATCGACAAACTCTACCATTAAACTTCCTTCTTCCACATGAGTCACCTTGCGAAATTTTATTTTGCGACATAATTATATCTCTGAGTTCTGTGAAGTCCATAAAATTGTATATCTTCAGGTTTGGTCCTGGGGATTGAGAACATAGGAGCGCCATTTTGAGATAATGCCATGTGTATGACTTGGAAGGGGTATCCCGTCATTAATAGCCTACATATGTAAAATAGCAACTGCATCTGATGATGTTTAAGCATTATTTAAGTGATATGTCTTATGAACTATTTTCTATTTTTGCATTCTAATGATTCTGCAGTCAATATACATCATACCTCTTGTTGGATCCAAATTTGTCCATTGATAGCAATTGATTTTACTAGCAAGTTTGGCTAGATAGAGCAAGAAAATAGAAGAGATAGTAAGTGGGAATGGAGAGCAACTAAGAAGTCATTTAATCTTTGTTTATAATAGAAATGACATGAAGTCTAAGATATGTCTCTTGACCCAGGGCTACCAGAAAGGCTATCTCTAGAAAAAGAAGGAAATAATATATGATTTAACAAGTATAGACTGGTACAAACATTTGGACTAGGTTGAAATGTACACATAGCCATATATTTTGAAGTGGATCTAGATGTCTCTGGTGAGTACCTTGGGTGGTTGGTGAGTTCTCGAAGTTGGGTGCTTTGGAAAAAGTTCTCTAGGATGAATATCTCAGGCGAGTCCATAAAGGCGAACATCTTGGATAAGTAGTGAACCCCTTAGAGTGAGAGACAATTCTTCTAGGTGAGTCTTTCATGCAAGTGGCTGTGAGCTGGGGACGAACTTAGATGGAGTCATGATTGTGGGCTCTGTGGGTGTGTAACTCTTGTAGCTTGGACTGGATATCTCTGGGAGGTGGATTGCTCCGATTGGAGATAACCATTGAAAGAGTGTTCTTCATAAGATGAGCACTTCTTCTAGTGAAGGATTGTTGACTTGAGTTCTTTGGTTGAATTTGCTCGTAATGTGTGCCTCCTTGACTGAGCTTCTCAGTGGTGAGCTCCTATAATGCAAGCTTCATTGGGGTGAGTACCTTGCTATCTTTGACCATGCTTTAGCGAGTGAACCTTTTTATCAAGCTCCTCAATTACGAACCTGCTTGGTACTTGCAGGTTATCTATATCAGCATGTATGGACATACACGTCAACAACAACATCAAGCCTTTATTCCACTACATGGGGTCGACTACATGAATCCTTTTTTTTCCATTGTGTCCTATTAAAAGTCAAATTCTTGTTTAAATCTAATAGATAAAGATCATTTCTAATATTTTCTAACCAAGTCTTTTTAGGTCTACCTTTACCTTTCTTAACATAAGTCAAATCTAATACCTCTACTTTCCTAACTGGGATATATATATATATATATATATATTATTAAAATTTACCTAAATCTTAAGCTAAAGCCCCAAACAAATTATGCCTTCATGGACGCCTGAGCTGTAGCAACTCTCTCGACTGCCTTCACTTCCAGCCTGCTGTCTTCCCCATAGTCACCATCGTTGTAGCCGCTGTCAGGAATCACTTGAAAGCCACATACCACCACCACCTCCTCTAATTATTTTGGAGTATTAATCTCATCTTTATAGTGATGAAAAACATTTATGAAAGAGGAAAATGACTGAAATAAATGAAGCAGATGGGGAGCTATTAGACTTCACAGGATTAGACAATTGAGAGACCAATTTGTTATGATGATAACTCAAATAAAGATCCTCTGTGATGACAGTACAGTTGATTTTTGAGTTGTTGCTAACTATTTCAGCTTCCTTTAAAAATTAAATGTGGATGAGTAGAGAACTAAGAAAGAAAGAATTTAGAGTTAAACTTGATGATATATGATACTTTTATGCAATTCCTATATTTAATATTATTTTGCTCTTGTAATATTTGGATTTTAATTTTATTTCATTCAATTTATCACTTATCAATTTACATCTTGTGCAATTTTTTGTTTTATATATATGCCAATTTATTACTTCATAGTTCAATCGAAAGTTAATATGTCATTCTTTAACATATTAATTGGGCATTATATAAGAATCACTTTTAACCTTTATTTTTTTTGCTTTACATAGTTTTTTTGAGGCTTACGCCTCAAAATGTCATGAGGCATAGCCTCGCCTCACGAACAAAAAACGGCTCAATACCTAATAGCGCAATTTTAAACCTTGGTACTGACTGATGTATGATGTATTTTAAGTCTATGAACATGAAAGGTTTGATTTATTGGGCAGAAGTAGTGAGCTACTACATTCTAGTATGCATGGATTACATATCCATACTCCCTTGAGGCTCTTTACTTTTTAGTTTTATTGATCTAGAAGACCATAGGGTTTTTGGTTTAAGGAATTTCTATAGAAGATGTCGATTTTATGCATGGATATGATATTACTATTTCTCACTTTGAAATGCTATTATCATTCATCTAATCTATTCAATTTTATCATGGTTTGGTGTAGCTTTTGCAGCTTTGGGTTATCACATGTCATTGAAATATTATCGCTTGAGAAGGAAGGGCATGCATGCAGATTGTGTATGTTATTTTTGCTTTACTGAGTCTGTCTATCATTTCTGCTTCTTTTGTTCTTTCATTTTTCCCATTAATCCTTTTGAAAATTGTAAAAAAAGAGCTTGAATTTGATTGATATGATATTTCAGGGCCTTGTTGTTTTTGGAGCTTCAGTTTCCATATTATATTTGGCTGGTCCAGTTTTATTTCTGTAGCTGACCTTGATGCTTTTCTTTTAAGACATTCTTCTTAGGGTTCTTATGATCATACAACAACTACTTCAAGAGAACAAGCATGGATCAAAAAGGGACATATACTACGTGGAACCATCTCTTTTCAGTGGTAATACTGCTATCTTCTGCAAATATAATTAGCTTGGGAACTTCTCGAACATACATGTTATAACAATTGTTTAATTTTGAAGACGTACTTTTTATCCTCTAAACTTTAGCCGTCTAGCTGACTGCATTAAATTTTTTTTTTTAGGTGTATGGCTTTTTATTCTCTTTTTTTGGTTGTTGAGAGATTCTCAGCGACCGCATAATCCCTGGATTATATATGGCTAGAATAATTTAAAAGAGCGATGAATGCCCATTTTGAACCAGTTAACACTAGCTTTTGGTGGATTGTTGCTGGCTACTCGATCACTTTGGTGCTCCTTATAGCATTGATGTCTGCTGAAAAATGTGAGAAGATATAGGGGTCATTATCATCTTCATAATTATTAGCCTTATTCCAACTAGTTGTGGTCAGCTTTTAAGTCATCTATAACTTATTGTTTTTCATCACCTGATGTTTTAGCTCTATCTTGCAAATCTCTTTTCACAAATTATAGCCAGGGTAGGTTTGGTATACATTTCCTCCTTAATCCTTCTTTTATTTATTTATTATTTTTTTCCTCCTTAATCCTTCAAATTTAATTATGATAACCTTTTTATTAGTGCATCTTTTATCTTTTATTGTACATATCTAAATCACTTAAGCCTATTATTCATCACCATACATTCTGTAGTTGCTGTTATCATCTCAATACTGTATTAACTTTTCATGCTATTTTTCCTACTTTTACCATACGTCTTAGTATTTTCATTTCAATTTCAGTTGGATTGTCAATGACTTTTTTTATTTATTTATACTCATATTTGTATAACTTAGCTAATCTAATTATGTTTTATAGGACCGATCTTCAAATATCAATGTTTTTCCTTATATATCACATAGTAATCTTAACGAATATTTTCATTTTAAGCACTCAGACTTTAACTTTTGATGTTAGATCTTATTCTCTCTCTCTCTCTCTCTCTTTCTATTGATTGATGTTTTATAGGAAGTTATCAAATTATGTCATGAAGTTGTTATTAGATTTTAGATTAACACCAATAATTTTGAATTTACATATTGCCATTTATTTTGATATTACATATATTATTATCACAGGAAATTACCTCTGTTTAAAATTGCGCAATAAGAGGCGCGCCTCTGCGCAATTTGACCCAAATACGCCTCGAGGCTTACACAATTCCTTCCCTGGCAGAGGCGTACGCCTCACCTGGTCTGAGGCGTGCCTCAGAGGCGCAATTATAGGTGAGGCATATGCCTCACCAAACCGGTCCCACCTACTTAAAATAAAGCCTCTTCTTCCCTTCATCCCGCACGGGTTCCAGGTGTTCCGAAAATTTCCCTTCCAGTAGCTCTGTTTGCGAACCAGAGATGCTCTCTCGCACGCTCGGCCACCCTTCCCGCCGTCTCTCCCGCCAGCGCCGCCTCTCTCTGGCAAACTTGAAGTGTCCGGCCGCCCTCTAGGAGTACTCCACAATCGATTTTAGGTATTTTCCACTAATTCCACTTGTCATTTAGATGTTTTTATTTTATGATAGAATTTTGCTATCATTTACCTGCTAAAACCCTTAAATTCTCATTTACGCAATTCTGTGTCCGTGAGGCTTACGACTCAGACCGCCTCGAGGCTTACGCGTCGCCTCACGGACGAAAACCGCCTCGAGACTTATTTACGCAATTTTAAACCTTGGAAATTACTCAATTAGAAAAGTGACTTATAATTGCAATAAATCCTCATAATCGAGGATTTTTTTTTTCTTCTGTGGCTCCGAAAATTCGCGCCCCAGCCTCTCTACTCACATTTTTTTTTTCGGGGGAGTTTTAACTAATTATGTTCCGGGTTAAATTTTTAGAAGGCAGATTGAGATTTTTGATAAGACACTACTCAGAGATTTCGCCCTCATTTTGTAAGGACTTTATGATTTGAGTTCTTGTTTCCTATAGGCGCAAGCCTTTATATTTAATTACCCTTTATAGTTAATTACCCCTCCCGTTCACGAGAGATAACTTTCGATTAAGGCTAGTCATTGATGAATATGTTGTACCTATAGATACATGATATTCAACATATGGTAGCATCATTGGTTTGGTATTTAAAAAGTTGATATTTGAAAATTGGAAATTTCACCATCTTACATTTAAAGTAGATAGTGGTGGGTGTGATGATGAGCCCGATCAAGATCCCATGGTTTCGTCGTCTCGGACAATCGTGGTCCATGGTCTACTTAGTCAGAGGAGATAGTCAACCCAACCTGACAGATGAATCTTTGGGACTTAAAGTTGACACTCTGGGATGTAGGATATTCCATTTTTATGTCATGGCTATGAAACTACATGATGCTAGAAATTAGCAGACCTTGTATACTTCTCAAAGTAACAAATGAAGTTTGGAATGCAATGAGACACAGGGCTGTCAATTTGTGTCTACGGGTTGTGTTCGGGTCAGACCCGAATTTGACCTGACTGTCTCTGACCCGACTAGGAGACGTCCCGAATCAGGTTTCGGGTCGATTCTTCGAACCCGAACCCGACCCGGATCGGGTTTGGGTCAACATGACCCGACGTGGAAATATTAAATGCATGAAAATTTTAAACTTTGAAAATTTAATTTGCCAATAAATAAATTATATTGAAGGAATCAGAGCAACACATAAATGAAAAATTACTTTGAAAATTTAATTTGGTAATTTACATTGATCACAAATTACAAACTTCAAACTAAATAATTTACAAATAAACTCAAATTACATTTTTTAGTTCTTATACCGGCTACACGCGTACACTTCATCTTGAACTCTTGAAGAATGAAGATATATCATAACCTATTTTCAACTTGAATTAACAACAAAAAAAAAGGTTAAACAATAAACACTTAAAGCTTAAAGTAATAAACAAATAAAAATGATAAAATTCCAAATAATGAGATTGCATAATTGTATAACTAGAAAGCTTTATTTGAATAGCTCAGGTAAGCCCTCCAAGTCTCTAACACATTTAACTACTATTTAGTCACCAAAATATTTGATTTTTCTAACTATTACCATCCAAGGCGGCAGTTAGGTAATCTTACTATCTCTTTTAACAATGATATTGATCAAATTATTACTGTCAAGGTTGTGGAAATCAGATTGGACAATAAACCATAAGGAGAATTTCACAGTTCGACCGGTTGAATCGGGGTCAAACCGAATGACGTAATAAATAATAATATTATTAAAAATGAATAAAATTAGCATTTTACAACCTCTAATATAATATGAAAATAATTTTTATATGATAGAGGAATTTGGAATGTGGTTTGCTCAAAAACTTGCTAAAATTTTGCACCTGAAGCCTTTGAGGCATTTTGACAAACATCTGAAGAGCATCTGGCTTCTTGAGAGGTGCCATAGATCGTTGTAGCTGGGAGATTTCCACACCTGCTTTGAGATACAGCTTGCTCTGTCTTCCATACTCACATCCAATTAAGAATTAAGAACATAATTAAAACCTGGGTTAATGTGTCACACTCTAGGATCTATATTGGAAGAATTATATCTATATTTCATTTTAAACATTTAATTAGAGCTTACCAATAAATACCAGAAAGAAACATGATTGCATTTTTGCCTTGTCCGGAGCCTTATGTCATAAGATCTTTACCCTTTTCTAAAAATATAATAAATCACGTAATGAGCACATTAGGGGTGTCAATATTTGACACGACACGAAAACCCGACCCAAAAAATCCGGATTGGACCCGACCCGAACCCGACCCGTGACCCGAAATTGACACCCCTAGAGCACATAGTCCAACAAGTAACTAAAATCTTACAACTGAAATCAATGCAAGATAAAAGAGAATAATATGCTATAAATCATATAAAGAAATATATACATCAATGTCTATACTAATTTTCTACATCAATTTATTCTTCTATAGTTCATCACATCTCAATCCATTACATCATCAGTCACAGTAGCAATCATAGCCAACATTATTAATGCCAGTAAAAATATTAGTATTATGATTAATAATGTTAAAAAGTATTCATGATAGTAAATCGTATTAGTGTCAGTTACAATATTAATACAATATTTATAGCAGTGTCAGTAATAATATTCAAATATTTAATGATATATCTTAAGAGTATCTTGATCCTGCACTTATGACTCCCAATAATAATCCCTTATAACTCCCAATCAATCTCCAACTCCTTATGACTTCCAATACTGAATCACATGTATAAGTATGGTATCACATGAAGTTATCATATCATGTATTTGATATCATTCGATACTTCATTTAAAATACAATAAAATCATATCAAATCGTTCAGAATGATCACATCTTTAATATTTCCACGAGGAAAGCTTATGAAATCAGGAGATATTGCATTTTTGACAAATTTTGGAGAAATAAAATTCGTAGAAATCAAAATAATTGAAAATAGAAGTAAGAAATTGTTTACTTACAATGAATAGAACA